AAAAGTAAACTTCTGCAATCCAGGTAGTTGCTTTTTATTCATGCCTGAGAGCAGAATTTCTGTAAAACTTTCTATAAAATAACAAAATCTTTGAGTTATTCCTTTAGCTGAAAGGTTTACCCCTGCTCTCTCTGCTGAAGGCAGAAGTCACACCAGTGGTTTGGGGTAAATCTTGTACCCTGCCTCTCTTTCAGAGCCCTGGTTCCTGGAAAAGGTTCTTTGCTAAAAATATGTCCTTATCTCTGCTCAGAACCACAGATTTCAGCTGCTATGACCAAATATTTGCCTCTTTCGCCTTCCTAATGCTGTTGGTTCTGATTGTCGGTGTAGATTCGTTTATATTAGTCTGGCATTTCTGTTCATTTGGGACTTCAATCCCGCAGGTTCAGCTCATTATTATCCTGTGTGTTGGACATTCAGAAACCTGTTATCCTTTAAATCAATAAACTAAAGCAACTGGAGGTTTTCTTCCTTTTTTTAACGTCTGTGTTTGTTCTGTCTATAGGTGGATCTGGGTCCAGATAAATTCCTCTCTGAAAAAGACCTGCAGTCCACCATGAAGCTCCTGACCAACCTATCTGTACGTACCGTCCCATTTGAACTGCTAAGTTATGCTGATAAGTCGTACTTTCTGTAAAGTATCTTGAGCTCTGCTGCTCTGAGGTTCATGTTCTTATCAGTGAGCGACTGTTTGAGGAAACCATAAAAACTGCTGCGCTGTGACTCTTCTGTTTTCCTTTCAGTTTCCTCTGACAAAACCAGCTGATAAGTGAGCAGAGCTAGACTTACCCGTCATGAAACGTTTCCCTGCTGTCGATTTTCTTTTCTTTCCGTTCGTCTGCAAGGTTGGACTGTTTGTGGGGGATTGGGACATTTAGGAAAAACCTGCAAAGTCATCAGGGAAACATCCTTAATAACTTCCTGTGCTTCTTGGAAGAACGGAGTCGCAGCCGCAGCAGCAAACCGGATCAGGACTTCTGGCCTGTTCTGTACCCTCAGCAGGAACCAGAATGCATCAGATGATGAGCCGCTTTCCTTTCTCTGCTGAGTTATTTAAAATAAAACACAGACAGACGTCTGCTTTTTGCTGCCAGCGTGGTTCAGAACCGGATAGAGACAGAACTATTAATAAAATGATTTATTTTAATGATTTAATTACCGTATTTTCACGACTATAAGGCGCATATAAATGTATTTTTTTCCCCCTCAAAATGTGCGGTGCGCCCTATGTGTGTTGTTACGGCGGACGTTCTTGAGACCGCCATGAGAACGTTAAAGGAGGAAGTGTGGGCGTGGATGGACAGAATTATTTTTTTAGAGAAAGACTTTGCCTAAAGAGACTTTTCCAGCTAGAGTCGTTATTAAGGCAAATGAAAAGGGCTGGATGGATGAGGAGATGATGAAAGAGTGGCTGAGGGAGGTGTATGTAAGGAGACCAGGTGGTTTTTTCCACGCATCNTATTTTTAAATACGCAGTAGAGGTATTTAAACGTAGTAGAGGACTTGTACCTGTATATAAAACCCGCGCCCTATAGTCCGGTGCGCCTTATGTGTGTGTTAAATACAGTAATGGCACACATAACTGAGAGTGCGCCTTTTAGTACGGTGCGCCTTATGGTCGTGAAAATACGGTTAGAGTAAAAGTCTATCTTGTTCAGATCCTTTCGCCACAGACTTTTGTAGTTCACTTTTTTAATTCACAGCTGATTCTGGTCCACTGTAAATAAAAACCCTTTATTTAGTTTATCAGTGACTTTAAATATCTCATAAAAACTAATAACAAGGCCTGTAGTTATGGACCTACTGACAGTTCTTGATTTACTTGATGTTTAGCATGAATTTAAAAGGCAGAGCGGAGGAGATCAGCCTGTTGTTCTGATGAGGTTGTCTTAATGACGACATTCAGGTCATTGGCATTGCTCTCTCTGGTGTCTCTCACCTTTCTTTTAAAAACCCTCCAGTTTGTTGGTGTTTCCATGGTGATTAAAGCTGGTATGGGCCGCTGTTCTGTCAGACCACCATACCTATAGCTTAATAAGCATCAGAAGATGTCAGATTTGCGTTTATCCCTTTACTTTTGTATGAAAAATAGACTTAGTCAGATCACCATAGGCCTCAAAATACACCAAAGCCTGTTGAAGTAGTTTAAAGCATATTTTTCATACAAAACTAAAGGGATAAATTAAAGAGATAAACTGGTATAGATTGAATGGGTATGCTGGTCTGACAGAACACCGGTACCAGGCTGTGTTAGAAGATGAAATCAGCATCTCAATGAGGTCAGTCGGCAGAAGGAAGCAGAAGCTCTTCATCTGAAAACAGGTCTTTAGACCACTGAGAGTCTGGTTCTGGTTTGGGAAAAGCCTGGAATGTTCTGTACAGTATTCCGTACTGTCCTGCTTTTTAAAGCCCCCATTTAGATGTTAGGCTGCAGACCGTCTCATGTGAACCTTCCCTAATCTTCAGTCTGTCTCTGGGTCTACTAACTGGACTTAGCAGCTGGCTAGCTCAACTGGTAAGTCACCCGTCCTTGGTTTGTATCCCAGCTTGGGGGGGTGATGAGCTGCCAGTGTGGGTCCTGAGGCAAGACCCTTCATGCTAATGCCTGCTTGGGGAGTGGTGGCCTAGTGGTTAGGACATTGCGCTTTGATATCCTGAGGTTCTGAGTTCGAGCGCCACTCCCACAAACTGCCACTCTGGGTCTCTGAGTAAAACCCTTAACCTCCACACTGCTCCCCAGGCGCCGCACAATGGCAGCCCACTGTTCCCCAAGGAGATGTGTCAAATCTGCATTTAACTCATCTGCACTGTCACAAGTTGCTATGTACTTGTGACAGTGTTATGAGATTAAAAACGCTGGAAAAAGAAAAATAAAGAAATAAAAAAGCTGGAACTTTGCAGGAATCTTCTGATCATTAACCGTGCATACACTGCGATTTTTTTTTTTCTTCAATCATTGCATGCAGCTACAGCTCACACTGTACGACGCAGGGTTTCGTCATACAGCGTGAGTTCACAGCTCGCGATGCATGTTCAGTCCGATGCTCTGATGCAATCTACCTGCTCACACTGTACGCCTAAAAACCAGGTGGGCAAGATGGCGCTACTCGGACTCGTCTATCCGGAAGCCAAATGAGTAGAAGAGGAATATGAAGCTCACTAGAGTGAAACGTGCTGCCTTGGCAATTTGTGCAATTTTGTGCTGAAAGCTCTAAAAAAAAAAATGCGGTGACGTATTTGGACAAAGACATGGCTACTACGGTCTGTCAATTTTACAGAAAGAACTGCATTTCATCCTTGTTTTGCCCACTGAGCGATTTGCCCCAAAAAATCAAACATCTTTGAAAAAATCAAACATGTTTGATTTTCTCCCGACCTTACGATTTCTGATTGGGAGGTGGTCGTTGAATCTGATCGCCCCTCGTTACCCCCTTTGCACTACACGATGATCGTGTTGAAAGTATGCCTGATCGCAAAATTCTCACACGACAGAAATATCGTCCCGAAAAGGGCAAAAAATCACAGTGTAAGCCCGGCTTTTAAAGCTGCTGAACAGAGTCTGATCCTGTAGAGTGAATGTATCTTCCCCCACTCTGCTGTTTTCCAGACCCCGTATCTGTGTCCGCTGGTTTTCTCCAGCACCAGCGAGTCTTCGGCTCTTCTCATCCGACCTTTCAGTGAAAAAGGCTCTCTGAGAGACCAGATCTGCAAGGTAAACACTGTTTCTGGGATGAAATCCAGCCGGCTTCCTGAAATGATCATCTTTTTTTTATTTCCATCTCTGCCTGGATCTGTTTAGGTGAAACCCAGAGAGAGTCACCTGAAGAAGTACTGCAACCCCAAGAAGAGCCAGGGCCTGGAGCTGGAGCAGATCAAACTGTACGGCCGACAGATCCTGGAGGTAAAACGCACAACGATGCAGGAATTAAATGACAGATGGAGCTGTCCTGCTGCAGCTGTTTGTCTGCGTTTAGGGCCTGAAGCTTCTCCACGACAGCGGCCTGTTCTTCGGCCATCTGCACGCCTCAAACGTTGTGGTTGACGAGGGAGTGTGTCGGCTGGTGGACATAGAGAACGGCGTGCTGGGAGTTCCCTCCATCCTCAGGCCGGCTTTCACACAGCTGAGGAAGATCAATGTATGTGAGCCGGTTTTATACAGATTTATTCCTAAACTAAAAGTATTTGGCAGAAACTGAAGGATCAGATGGTAGAAGTTGTGCGTTTCTGTGTTTTTACCTTCAGACCACAGAAAGCATCGACGTGTTCTGCTTCGGACATTTACTGTACGAGATGACATACGGCCGGCCGCCGGACAGCGTCCCCGTCGATCACTTCCCATCAGTCCCCTACTCCTCCGTGGGTCCGTATTACCCTGAACCTTATTCAGTGGCTCATCTGTCATCTGTGCTGACTCCATGTTTGTGTTCAGTGTCAGTTTTGCAGTCCATCCTGTCCACGGAGGCCTGTAAGAGCGGGATGCCCACAGTGCCAGCTCTCATCCAGACTCCGTGAGTTCCTCCATCTTCAGTCTGCTCAGAGTCAGGCGAACACAAACCTCAGGTTGTTTTGGTCCAAATCCACAGTTTGTAAATAAAATCATTCAAAGAGCTTCACAGTAAAATAAGTGAAAATATATAAGAACAATATGGAGGACTACATTTACTTTTAGGTTAACATAAAGATATTTAAAATAACTAATTCAAAACTCCTGTGCTTAAGATTTACTGCCATCTAGTGGGGTGCTAAATAAATTGCAAACAGCTGAGAGGTGCAGTTAATTAAGTAATAAATACTATGAAAGCCACAGAGCATCATATAAGTGTTCTCATCCTGTCCCATCAGGTGATGAGGTGCAGAACTTTGATAGGCTGTTTTATTTTTATTTTTTTATCGATGCCATTAAGTTACAAGCATTTTTCTCCATGCTTTTGGTACCAAGTTACTGTTAATATTTTTATTTTTTATTTATTTTATTTTCACAACAAAAACATAAAAACAGAATAATGTTTCACTTAAAAAGAAAATGTGATGGACAACTGCCGAAAAACCCTCAAGGGGCAAACAAAAAAACAAAAAACATTTCTTTGTATAAAACAATTTAAAATATAATTTACACCACAAATCCATATGGAAAGTTCAAACAACAGTAGCAGCAATTTTACTCTCTGTTTAAATTGTTCTATAGAAAGATCTGTCAGTGATGTGGGAAGACTGTTCCATATCCTTGATCCTCTGTATAATACACTAAACTGTGTTTGAGTTGTACGAGAGTATAGCTAATAGCTACAGTTAATAATAATAATAATATTAATAATACATTTTATTTAAAAAGGCGCCTTTCTGGACACTCAAGGTCACCGTACAAAAGCATAAAAACAGTGTCAGAAAAAATAAAAATATAAACATTTAAAAAAATACAGAGGCTGTGACGGTGAAATTGATATTTAAAAAGAATAAGCAATCTTGAACAGTTGCCTGCTGGTCTGACTTCTGTGAAGCCGTCTCTGCTGGGAGGACAGATTAGCTGCTTGACGACGTTGCCCCGTTTCTAACAAAACAAAATAAACTTCCTTGTAATATTGCATTGTCCCGCAGAAGCCTGAAACCTCTGCAATCGTTTTGAAGCACAGCTCCCTCATTAGCTGGTGTTAGGTGGCTAATCAATGTCCAAAATGTAAAAACCCTGCTTAGTCCTCCTTCATCCCGTTCAGTTCATAGTCTGTGTTGTGGAGCTGGAAATGCCAATGGTTAAAATGAATCTGTGTATAGGCTTTTTACTTCCTGGACCTGGATCATCTACCTAAGCTATGCTGATGCAGAGTCGCTTTTTCTCGTTTCTCCATTTCATAAGGAAACATCTAGTAGAGTGATCTACAGTCATTTACACCCTCAACACATGAAGGCCTAACAAGTTTGTCCCCTTTCAGTTACCCTAATCAAAGATGCATACGTGGCATCCTTCACTGAGGCCACAGCGACCTATGTATTTATAAACTACTCAGTCTAAGAAATGCTTTCAGTTTTGATGTTTTTACTAATTCAATTCAATTTATTTCTATAGCGCCAATTCACAACACATGTAATTTCAAGGCACTTTGCAATTCACCAGATCATGCTGTCAAATTGTTTCAAAGTTTTCTATCTAAGGAAAACCAGTTGATTGCATCGACTCATTGACTCTTCAGCAATCCCTCACACTAAGCATGCTTGTAGCGACAGTGGAGAGGAAAAACTCCCTTTTAACAGGAAGAAACCTCCAGCAGAACCAGGCTCAGTGTGAGCGACCATCTGCTGAGGCCGACTGGGGTTCAAGGAGACAGAAGCAGACATAGAAAAAGAAGCAAATACAAAAAGCAACTATCAATCAGCTCCATAGCCGGCCCCGTCCAGAATGTTTACTATTTACAAAGGTGTTGATGGCAGCAGCACAGCTGATATTTCTCTCCAGGATGGAGTCACAGCCAAACAGGAACAGACCAGATGAAGCTACTATGAGAAAAAGCAGAGAAAGCAGAATGTTAGAGATTGGAATATTGAAAGATTGAAAAGGGGTCCCTATGTCCTCCAGCAGTCTAAGCCTATAGCAGCATAACTATAGAGATAGCTCAGGATAACCTGAGCCACTCTAACTATAAGCTTTATCAAAAAGGAAAGTTTTAAGCCTGGCCTTAAAAGTAGACAGGGTGTCTGCCTCACAGACTAAAACTAATTCGAAGCTAGAAGTTACACACTGCATATATAAGCAAAACCAACACATGATAAAAAATAGAAAATATTTCCTTTAAAAATAAAAACTTTAAAAATAAAGTTGTTAATAATCAGACTAGAGGCAGGCGATGCTTGGGACAGCAGAAACTGAGATGGAATAGAACAGACCTGAGACGGGAGCCCTGAGGAACACCACATCTGATTTAGATAAGATTTCTGATTATTAAACAGCAAAGGAGTCTCTGTTTGCACAGAGAACTGGTTTATTAACCCGTCCTTTGCCAGATTAATAATAAATAATTCCATTATTCCATTATTTCTACATCTATTAGCTCAAATAAAAGCAGGCTTGTACAGACAGGCCTATATTTAAAATAATCTATACATTGATGTCATGCATTTGTGACTAAATTTACTTACTTGCTCAATATCAAGCAAAAAATGTATCATTTATTTTTAGTCTTGTTTTATATCTTTCAGGCTCTTCAGTGACGTCCGGCTCAATCACTCAGAAAAACTACAGATCAAGGTGAGGGCCGGTGGGATGTGAAGGTTTTTAGAATCATAGTTGAATAAATGGTCATAAATCTGATATATCCTCCTAAACTCCAGGTTCCCAGCAGGCTGAAGGAGGCACTGAAGGAGGCTAAGGGAAGTTTGGAGAAGAGGCTGCGTGAAGAGCAAAGACTGGTGGGTCCAAACTCCCATCTCTGACTATCTGAAGGTCCCTGAAGTGGATCTGTTCAGCATTAGCAGAGCTCTTACTTACATAACAAACATGTGATCGTATGCTGGGAAAAAAAACGTTCTTAATTCAGAGGATAATCCTGCATGGTTCTGTGTGACCACAGATCCATCAGCACCGGAGGCTGACCCGGGCTCAGTCACACTACGGCTCTGAGGAGGAGAAGAAGAGGAGGAAGATCCTGGCGAGGAAGGTCAGAGAGCACAAACACATGTTGGCACATTGAGTTTTTCTGATGAGCTGGAGCAGAAACCAGCATTCAGGATTCAAACCTTTGTTCCTGTCTCTACAGAAGTGCAGACAGTCAACGTACGAGAACGAAGAGGACGTTTCAGTCAGAAACAACAACAACTCTGGTAGGTTCCTGGCTGCTCCAACCACAAATTAAGAAAAGCTCATATTTCTTAATAAACCGCTCTCTTTTCCCCTTAATTAAAATGTATTTACTAAAATGTAGACATCAGAGAAGCGGATTAGACTCTGTAACCTTTCAGCATCAGCTCAGAAAAAGGGTCAAAGTTTAAAACCTTTACCTCCCTATTGTAGTTTTGATGTTTTGTTTTTTGATGGCTGACTTTTTTTCCTTAAGTTTCCATACAGACTTTATCCTTCCTTTCATTCTCACCTTATGCTAAATTTTTCTGGAAGGAAATGAGATTGACTGATGCTAGTGATCAGTGGCCGTTTGCTCTTGACTGCCTTGGTTTAACCAGTGGTAGACCTGCTCAGTGCAGTGCTGCTTTGATGCAAAACCTGGCTGACCTTAATGTTTTCATCACCATAACATTAATATAAAAAGGATGAGGTTCCACCTCTGACATCCATCATTGGGGAATAAGATGTTAAAGCTCTAAATCGTGAAAAAGAAAGAGGAGGAATAGAAACATTGCAAAAAAATACAATAAAAATAAGTGTATTTCCCTTTAATCTGGGCAGATAAATAAGATGATCTTTCCCTTGAATTAGTATTTTTGCCTTTACAAGTAAGGTAATCCGCTATTACACTGCTAAATGTGATCTCAATATAAAGATTTCTTAAATTAAAAGTATTTCCTCTAATTTGAGCTCAATAAGTAATGCCCCTGACCCACTTCCAGTTTTTCTTTAAATCTAGCTGAAATTTTGCATGTGCAATTATTTTGAGCTCTATAGATTAAGTTGCAAATTACAGCTCTGAACTAATTGTTATATTTGATTTACAGATGTTTCAACCTTGACAGGCCTGAAATGGAGCCTGTTGAGTGTGATCCGGTTTTTCTATGGCCTTGTAAGGCCTTATGATGATGCTTCATCCCCATTAGTTACTTTCCTTTCATCAAAAGTCTCCCGTGGCGTGCATTCTTTCACACTCACATAAACCGAATCACTGCTCGACACTCGACAGGCTCCATTTCAGGTCTGACTCAGTTCACACTGCTGTAAATCAGAAACCACAGTTAGTTCAGAGCTGCAGTTTGTCACTTTATCTATAGAGATATAAATAATCGCACATGCAAAATATCAACTAGATCAAACAACTGGGAGTGGGTCAGGGGCATTACTTATTGAAAGCCCCTCATATTAGCATTTTTTTAACCTTAAAATAAGACAACTAGATCGTATGCAGTTAGAAAAAGCTACTGGAAGAGTTTTTTTTTAAATTATTTTAAATGTGCCATCTTATTCCTTTGGCAGATTGTCTTACATGTCTGCTCAAATCAAGGGAAAATATGCTCACTTTTAGAAAAACTCTTAATCATATTCTTTAGTGAAGTAGCAGGTTAAAGTCTTGATGTCAACACTAATTAGGGGATATAATCGGTCATGATTATGGTTTTAATCAGGTGTATTATTAGTTTATGCATTAGATTTTAGCGTTTCATGATTATCTTCAATTTGAAGCTACCTTGAAATGAGAAGCAAACTGACTCTGCAGGGTTTAGAAAACTGTTTATAGGATGGAAGAAGGAAAGGATGAAAAATGAGGCAGAAATAAGCAATCGCCTGGTTTAGACTGACTGACTGCTGCAGGCCTCCCCCTCTCTCCTCTCCGTCTCAGATGGTTGTTTTCTGTCTGCTGCAGGTTCAGGAGCCAGTTCCCCTCCAACGTGTCCCTCCTCCCCTGCTCCCTCCTCCACCACAGGTACACCTGTCCATCTTCCTGTCTGTCCACTCGTCTCTGTCTTTATTATAAGTATCTTTATGTCTGTACCACTCTGACGGTAGCGCCTCCTACTGGTGAGAAAAGCTGTGTTGCATTTTAGCAATCTGCTCAGATCAGAAACACGTTTTCTTTTTAAAATTTGCATGAGTGATTCTGAGGACTCTGTCATTAACTGGACCTGTCTGTCTCTGTCTCCTCTCATCAAGTGGCTCACAGGCAGGTATCTTCCTCTGCAGCGTGGTTTAGTTACTGTCGTCTGAACACTGGGGGGGCAAGCCCTCGTTAGTGTAGAAATCAGCACAGACTCCCGCAGGTTATTTTATCATAGATGCTTATTCCTTCTAAGCAGCCAAACAGATGAAATGACTCAAAAGTATTCACAACCCTGCAGCTTTTCTCACACCACTTAGTTAATTATACCATCAGGCTGAAGGAAAACAATGCACAGTTTTCATTTTCCACATAACAAAAGCAGCCAAGAGTTTAAAGGCCTGAACACATCGGTTCCGAATCGTTTTACCCATGTCAAACTGACTGCGTATAGAGAGGCTCCGACTAGGCAAGGCGAGCAGATCTGCACAGATTTTCTTCACTTTCTGTCTCTGTGCTAAACACAAATTAAAACAATTTCCCACATTTGACTAAACTGGCTTATAAAGTAAAGCCCAACTTAACGAGTCTCTGCAGCATCTCAAACCAGAATAGATAGAGAATATATATTAAAAATATAATAAGATCTAAAACACAGCAATAAACACCATGGGGCGGTTTCTATGCTGACTGAGGCAGAGAGGTGAATCTCAGAAAGATCTGGGTAGTTTAATGAAGTTTACTGTCTTCCTGAACTCCTATCATGGGTAAAGCGTTATATTTTTTAATGTTTCATTGATTGTTTTTGCACGTCCCTCAGATCCTTTTTCACGGCGGTTTTCTCGAGAAAACTAGTTAATTTTCTCATTATCTTAAGATAACGAGAGCCATTTTGTCGTTATAACGAGATGATTGATGTGTAAAAACTGATAACATCCTTCAATACCACAACAGTGGGAGAAGATTTATAAGTATAAGTCATGACAGCCTATGTGTAATTCTGTAAATAATCCTGTGTTTAACTTTTAGATAATGAGGCAACTTGTTGGTTTGATGATTTGCTTCTGCTTCTAATTAATAAGCAATTAGCCCTGTGCCTCCAGGTGTTTTCTGAACAGCCCCAGTGTTACGTCTCTAAAAGGTATAAGATGCATTAACCCTGAAAATGAGTCCAGATTATAGATTTTTATTAAAACTGATTTGTTTCTACTGTATTCCATGCAATCCAATCATCCACTATGACCTCACAATGAGTAAAAAGAATTAGGAAACTAAAAAACTGATTATTTGCGCACACGCGGTACGGCAACTACACAACTACGGGCCCTGCAGGCATGGATGGAGTGGAAATCCAGGGCTGTTGGTCAGCCTCATTCATTACTAATACAGGTTAATCATCTTGTTATCTCAACAACTCAATAACTGTTTTCTCCTGATAATGAGATATTTATCTTATCTCGAGAAAACAAGTAATGGTTTAAAAGTGATAACGTGATAGTTATGTAATCTAGAGAAGGCAAAGGGGAAAAAGGGTCAAGTATGACCACTCTCTGCTTCCGTACGCACAAATCTGTTCCACTTACTATATACTCGATGACGCCAAAACTGACTCTTTGCCTGTGAGATTCACAAATTTTATTTTATTTAGTGATTTCCCCCAAAGCGGATGGGTTTTATTTTGTAAAAGCACATCCTCTTCCTATCAGACCCATAAAATTCCTGCCGAATTGCTGCGTAGTCCAACTAAATTAGACCTGGGCTCTATCTCAGGTGGAGCGTAAAATCGTGTCGGGTTTGATCATCCCCGTTGACTTCCCTATTGGATCGGATGCTAAATCGGATTTGGTGTGTTCTGGCCTTAATAGCTACTCTGGAGGAGCTGCAGAGATCCAGAGATCAGGAAGGAGTCTTGTTTCCCAGCAGGAGAAATAAATACGATATATATGGAGGTGTTCATCAGCTCAGACAACAGTTTGTCTCTTCAGTCACCATAAACAAACACCCCACATCCCCACTGAAGCATGGTGGTGGCTGCATCATGCTGAGGAGATGCCCTCATCCAGCTGGGACAGGGAAGCTGGTCAGAGTTGATGGAAGATGGATGGAGGACGATCCTGGAGGAAAACCTGAGACTCAGATGGAATTTCAGCTTCCAGCAGGAGAACCACCTAAACATCCAGACAGGGATACAGTGAACGGTTTGGATCGGAGCAGATTCCTGGCTTAGAATGGCCTAGTCAAAGTCCAGGTCTAGATATAACTAAGAGACTTGGAAACTAATGTTCTCCACCCAGTCTGACTGAACAGGAGCGGTTTTAGCTTTAAAAATGAAGAAGACACCCATAGAGACAAAACCTGCAGCCAAAGGTCGTTCTACAAAATGTTATTTCCAAGAGTTCATTAAAAAACATTTTGTTTTCCTTCCACTAAACAGTTAAACAAGATGTGCATAAAAGCTTTTAACGGGACAAGTCAGGAGGGTGTGAATACTTTTAGAGCTTTCTAGAGCCATAACAGAGTGGAAAAGCAAAGAAAAACGTTGAGAAACCCTTCAGACTGTCTGCTTTAGATGAAAGTGGCTGCTTGGAAAGAAGCGAGCGGTTAATCCTCCCCACATGTCTCCTCCTACCTGTTTAACTGGTGGTTCTCTAAATGCTGATTGGTCTAATGGACGGATAACAGTCATCTCCCTGTCTCTCTTCTTCCTGTGCCGTCTCCACCATAGAGCATGCTCCATTCTGACCGTGTCTTTGGGTAAAGTAAAACGATTATAATGTCGAAGATGTTGATGAACCTGTGTTTTGGTTTTTAAAGCCAGCGTGAACCCTGACCTGTCAGCCAGCTCCTTCTTAGCACAAACGTTCAGACATACAAACATGGCCGCCTGAAGCTGGGCTAGGAAAAGAATCCAAACTGAAATTCTGATTGGCTGAAAGTGACGCAGGGAAACCAGTCAGACTTTGATTCCTTCCTTCTGACTCCGATCAGCCTCTCTGGGAACGTCACTCCTTACTTTAGCAAAGAGACTCATGGTGAAACAGACCTCTGATCCAGGAGGGAAGGGAAGCTTTTTGTCCCAGAACATGATTCTGTATAAGAGCTGAATTTGAAGATGCACCCATGGAGATAAAGGTGTCTAATTGGGGAACCTTTGGGTCCGATTTATGCACATCATGATTCCAGACTGTAGGTCAGTTGAGTTTAAAGCAGCTGGAATAAGTCAGCTCCTCTCAGTCTGAGGCTCTGCTTCCCGAACAGGAAGAAGGAGGACTCAGCCAGAGGAGCTCGGGTCTGATGGTGTCTCATGCCTGACTGAAGGGAGGACGGTGATGGACACCGTCCATCTGGTCCAGTCCAGAGGATTGGAGAGTTTCCTGCACCAGCTAACATTCCAGAGATGATTTAGGGTTGGGAGAAGCACAGATTCACTCCAGCTCCTGCATACATGGTCTCAAAAGAGATGAGGTCAGATCAGAGCTCCTCCTCCTCTGGGGTTCAGGTTTCCAGACGTTCCTGACATTCAACCAGTGAGAGAAGAAAAAAACAACCAGGGGCTTTAAACGGCCCTTCTGGCTCTGTTACACTCTGGATCTAAGTCACGGTTCTAGAAAACAGAAATCTGGGCCTGATCTTGGATCAGTGGCTTTTCTTTGTTCCA